AATTCCTTATTGTTGAAAACAATAAGAAAAAATCGTAGATTTATTTGAATACAAGATAATCATTACTTACATAATTTTAATAAAAATAATATTTTTAAGAATATGTAAACTTTTCATATTTTACATTTATATAAAGCGCATTTTATGTGAGAATTGTAATTAGTTATTCAAATATTTTTAGACGCCGAATTATTGGTCTATTCACGTTTCTAAATATTTTTAGAACGGATCAATTCCTTTATTGCCCTCTCACGGCTCTCACGCAGTTCTTTGTAAGCTAGCGCATAATTTTCATCCGCGTAATGAAACGTTAACTACATCATTAAAAACGAGCACACGCTTACCGCCTTTCTTGCTCGATGACGCTATCATCTGTCCGAAATTATCTCCTTCACGCTTAAGGAGCTCGACCCATTCCGCACTCCGGAAACATCCGGTATATCCTTGCCGCTCGCGTTTTCACCCTCGTTTTCAGTGGATTCCGGGCGGAAAGCTCGGTCGGCCGGATTCATGGGGGTGGATTGAGACATGCCGGGGTGTGGCCGGGCCCAGGGATTAACCCCTGCTGACAGCCAATCATATCCGAGACAGCCCCACCAGGCGGATGACTACGAAACCCGGCTGAAACTGTCGCACTCCCTCGCCGTCCCTCGCAACAACCCCCACCGCTAATTGCCTTGGCTTTAATATCGCATGTGGAATGAAAGCCAGAGGAGGAAGATGAGGAGGAGGTGGAGGAGGAGGAGGCGGCGAGGGTAACCAAGGCGGTGAAGAGGGACAAGGGAGGATGGTAGCGTTGGTTGTAAGGCAACAGAATGCTGTAGAGTCCAGGAAGGGAGAGACTGCTTTGTATGTGTCGATCGCAATACCTACGTTCCTAGGCTGTTCAGGATGGAAGGATGGAAGGGGGATGCGTATGGCATTATGCGCTCGTGAATTTTATACGTGCGTCCACGCCTGTGCTGCAGCGATTGCACAATTGTAGATCATTCTTCATGCGGATTCAATTTAAGAACAATAGCGTGGCTACTATTTACCATCGAAATTGATATTTAGTTAGTTAATGATCCTCTCCATGCCGCGATCAGCAGATAAATTCGGTTAGTTTCCGCAGTTGATAGATTTATTGAACCGATCAATGATTGAAGCGAACTACGTTAAGACTTCACGCGACAGTCAATTTTAATCATTATGACTAGAATAATGACATTTAAGAATGTACAGTGTGGTCTTCGAAATTATTAATGCAATGTAAAATCCATTGGATTTGCACATTGCTTATATGATAATAACTGTACTTAATTGAGAGAATTCCTCAATTTTAATTTTTTAATTTTTTAATTCTATAAATATTTCTAAATTTAATCAGTTTATCTATATGCAGTTTATCTACCTATAATGTATGATATTTTTTTCCTTTGTTTTTAAATCTTCTTATCAGCTAAAAATTTACATTAAAAGAATATACAAAATATATTTAAAAAGTACACTTTAATAGAAAATATGAAATAAAGAATTAAAAAGATCTTATTGATTTGATTTTGTTTTATCAAAGATTTGTTATTGTTTAATCTGTCTGCATATCGAACTAATTTTGTTAAAGTGAATAGAAGTCTTGCCTGATCCTCTTTGTCTTATAATATTGGCTCGTAAGGGTGGTTCTTATAAAGCGGAGCAATTATCCGGGTAAAATACTCCGCGAAATTTCCGTGATAAATTTCAGGCCGTAATAAGGGTGAGTCGCAAGTCATTTGGGCGGCGATCAAGAGGGTGGGTATCGAGCTTCAATAGAAATTCTTTTGGACCCCCACTACGGTACGAGCAACCATTTAATTTATTCATTTGTCGCCAATTTCACTCCACCCTGCTTCTGTCTTCCCTTACAGACAGGTGCGCGCGCGCGCGCACACATACACACGCATACTATCTAAAAACTGATCATTATCAGACTAGTGCACATTGTGAAAATAAGACAGCAGAGAAATTAACTTAACAATACACAGGTCCTTTCTTTTCTAAAAAATTTTACGTGCGTGTAATTATTATTTAAAGAAAATATATAAATTACCTAAAATCGTAAAATATAAATAAATTATAACTAAATAATAAATTTTTTTATGCATGTAATAAAAATGCACGTATAAAAATGCACGTTTCAGCAAAATAATTCAAAACCTCTTAACTCTCTATAATTCTTCTAATTTAACTTAAAATATACACATACAAATGTAAAAATAATCTACAAAAAATTTAGATTCTTTATTCGATAAATAAAAATTTGCAACTGAAAGAATTATATTATCGGGATGCTACAATCTCTTATAGTAAAATAATTTATAGCGAAGTTTATGCAATAAGAAATATACGATGCAATTATGAACTGTTTGTAAAATAGTTAGAGAACAGCTTAAAAGTTGTGTGTAAATTTGAAATTTATAGCTCAATCTTAACTTCATAATGGCTTTTCGAGCGTAAAACTTTTATTAGACGTGTTATTCATGCATATGCGTACATTATGAAAGTTGGAATATGTGAATTTATTAATAACACACATTATATTTAGACATTGTAAATAGAACTCTACAACATTTTTTATATGTGTGCAAAAATAATTTTTGCATACAGAAACACACGTTAAAAAAATTGCGTAATTATGAAATATCCAAAGATTTTACTCTATTATACTACACACATTAGTCACATTGACGGATTGTAAAAAAATGTAATTAACATAAAAAATTTTTTAATTCGGTTAAATCAGTTCTTCTCTTTGACTTTAAAGCACCGTGTATTATTAAGATAATATTTGTTGTCATCAACAGAAAGATAAGGCTGTGCGTGCATGAAGTCGATATGATGTAAAACCTCGACATAATTAAGCTCTTGCCCTCGAGTGTAACCTCCTTAGAGGTTTTCCAAGGTACTGAAATTCCCGCGTACCCGTCAACGTCTAATGAGGGGATTGTGGATGAAGTTTCAGATTGGCATGAAGCAATTAAGGAGGACTTATTTACCTCGACATCTTTAGAATATATTAATAACGATGATGGGAGGAGGGGTCATCGTGTGTTATTCTTAATATAGTTATATAAAGGAATTGTAGATAAATACACATATACATTATAATTGGCAATATCTTTCTCTTTACTAATATTTGAAAATTATATTTTTTATTTTAAACATTAATATGTTTTAGAATTCAATTCTTTGTTATAAAAAGAAAGTATAATAATACATTTTTAAACATAATTTTTATCAATTATAAATTTATTTATAAAAATATGTAAAAATAAATTGCAAAAACACCGATTTATTTTATTACATGTAATACATGTAGATACACCTTAAGTACAAAAATTTTGTCTATGAATATTTCGAAAAATATATCAACAATATTCTAAACATCTTTCGGTAACAGTTTTCTATAATTAATTTATGTTCATTATAATATTACCATCTTTGTGTAATTAGCTCAAGAATTTCCCGAGTCAGCGCGAAATTTCGTAAGATAAATTGCGCGAAATTCCTCCCAATAATCCATAGCGAGTGAACTCTTCGATGTTAAAGACTATCTCAATCCAAGACGAGATAAGAAAGATCATCCGAACAAAATTAAACTACCTCATCATCATTAGGACCTAATTACCGGAAGGTCTTGGACGCGGATGACATTGCTGACGAGCGGCCGAAGCAAGGCGCTAACTACGTTCACGCACGCGCTCATCTTTGTCCCCACAGATACACCAGGCTTTCTGAGAAGCCTGGGTGTCGGTATCAGCATCTTCAAGTGAGCTAGTCGGTCTAGGCGAAAGCTTATTAATGGGTGCTTGCAAAGTGGGACGGGGGAGGCTTTCGCAGAACGACGATGAGGAAGAACGGGTTGTGAGTCGACGGAGGTGGATGCTGGCTGGATAGCTCGAGATAGAGGGTAGAAAAAAGTAACAGACTCCCCGCAAATAACCCCCCACGGTGTTCGCGGTAGGCGTGTCCTGGACACGGGGTGATGGCAGAATCCGGCCAACCAGGTTTCGGCGACGACGTGCGCCCCGGCCTTCTCTCGTCGAATGAAAAAATATTGACCGTACGAGGGGGTATCCTGCGGTCCATTTGGGGGTTGCGGAGGTGAAACATAACGGTCGACTGATTGTTAGGGATGGCGGGCGGGCAAGGAGGGTTACGAGGCGGCGGGTGAATACCCTCCTCGTCACGTACGGGATCATTAGCTGGATATCCTTGGTCCCGTTGGCCAACCCTATCCGATAGCGGTGATCCTCGTGCTTGACATCATTATCCTTGGATGCTGCAGAGCGCCAACGCGGTCCGATCATACTTCGTCGAAAGCGCCTTCATAGTTCGGTCTTTCGATACCGCTACTGTTTCTTCTCGTGCCGCTTTGCTTTTATTTCCGTTTTGTACGTACTTATCCATCAATTTATTTACCATTTGATAATCTGAGCAACTTACAGTTATTCAATGAATCTGCAACAATTGTGACAGTGCGTGTGAATTTGTTGTTTATGATGGGATAATAATTAATCGATAATAAACGTTGCTGTGATGACACTCTAATGACTTTCGATTTCGACATTGTGCGGTTTGAAGATTTTCGAATGACAAGTTAATGTGACTAAAAAATGGTTTAATTTGTTTAATAAAAAATACATGATAAATTAGTATTTCTGAGAATAAATCTGACAGTGAATAATTAATGATCATGGTGAAGAAGAAAAATTAATTGGATATATTTAGTTGACCACCATTTCTACAAAAAGAATTTGTGATAAACGTTTACGCAAATAATATAACGTTCTAAAAAGAAAAACTCTGAACTTTTTTGGTGTAATTCTTTATCGCATTTGATTGTATTCTTTGAAGCCAAATTAATATCTGTGTTAAGTAACAAAAAGTTTAACATAAACAGTTGCTAATTGCGGCTATATGATCGAAAAATATATCTAGAAAATATTGAAGTAAAGTAACAGTTTCAAAAACATTTCAAAATGGAGACGAGTGATCCGTCGGGTAGATTAACGGCGGAAGACTTATCGGATTGCATAAGTGACAGCAGCCATTCGGAATCTCAATTAAGAGCTTTTCAAAATTATGAGCGGATCAAAGAGCTGAATCTATCTATTGATAAAACTAAAGAAGATGCATCGACAGAACCGAAAGACTTTCATCTTAATCTTGAAGGCGGCGATAGGACGTCTCTCCGATTCAGTGAATTTCCATGCGAAAATTCGACCAGAAATTTGACTATGACGTTGAATAAAGTCAAAGATTTCGGTTACTCTGCTAATAATTTGACTGAAATTAATTATTCGTTGGAAAGATTGAACGAGAATGAGGAATCGACTGATGCCACAACGCTTTGCAGACCAAAAAATTCCAGCGCTAAAAACGTGCTGTTTAATTTGCGCGAGACGAAGCAAAGGAGTCCTCATGCGTCGTTATCCTCCTTAGATAGGTACAGCAAGGATCTTAATTTCGTGGTGGAAAAGGAAATAAAGGACTTCGGCCTGCTCAAAAACTACAATCTAGATCGCATGAAAGAGTTCAACTTTTCCCTGGATAGAATGAGGGATACGCACGGTTTGGCTCTTGAAAGATTGCGTGGTGGTGCTGATTTACTAGAAAATTCGAGCATGTTACATCACAAAGAATTTAGGAACTTGCAAGTACAGCCGAGGAACCCCGATCTCGAAGCTATAGCTTTGGAGCGTATGAGACGCTCGCATCTACTCGGTACAGAACTATCCGCGCAAAATTTGTCAACGCAAGTGCCGCATCCGCATTCGATTACTCACATGCAACATTCTCAACAACAGCAGCAGCAACAAGCGAAGTCCTTTACCATTGACGCGATCTTGGGCTTAAGGAATAATCAGCGCGAAAAACGAAATCAGCAGCAACAATACAGAAAACATCAGGGTATTTATAATATTTTTTCTATTAGTTTCTTTTATTTATTATGTATGTGTTAATTCATTGTTAATTCTGGCTGTTATTAATTATGCTTTTTTGTCGGTTTGATTAAATCAAAGACGAGATATATAATGAGGGGATAATAATACGTTGGATAATGATATTTATTTGTCATGATATTTACTAATTACTTTACAATAAAGATATTATAAGTTTTATGAAGTTAACAAGTAAGAAAAAACTGTTTCAAATATTTTATACAAAATTAAACATTTAAATTTATTTATTGGAAGTAAATAAAGTAAACGATAAAGGAAATAAATATTAGATATTAGTAAGTATTATTTTTACATAAAACTCAAACCTTTATTTATTAAAATTATAATCGCAATCAAGGTAGGAATCATAAAGTCAAAGCAAAGTTATTTTAAAACAGCAATATTAAAAAGACTTGATATTTGTAAGAAGACAACATTTTGCTTCAATTATAAGAAATGCATTTAACATTTTAACAGACTACTATATGCAATAAATGTATTAATTTAATTGAATAAAAAACAATTGAAATGTTATTATGTGTACTGTATGATAATCGAAAGCGTATAACTAACTTCAGATAAATTTTAATTTCTACCAGAATGAACATGTCAAATAACTAAATTTTCAATGTCGAAAAGAAAGCAATAATAGTATTCAAAATTTCTCAATTTTAAATACAGGTAATAAATAAAAATAATATTTTTGCTGTAAAATTTTTTAGAACACCTACATAATATATCTTTCGAATTTTTTTAATGGTTTATGCTTAAATGCACGTGTGCAACTTAACCTTATTACCTATCTGCTACTCTTTTATTAGTCACGTAGGGTGTTCAGGATACCTCATTATAAACCTGAAGTTTATAAATTTATAAAATGTATGAACATTGTTTATGCACACGTTATTACATATATTTAGCGCAAATTGCTTCACAATTTTTAATCAATTGTTGCATGTGTTTTCATCTAAAAGATGTATAAATTATCCATTCTTACTTAATTGTAAATTATTAAAAAGAATAATAAAAATTGAAATATAGTATTGTGGGATACAAAAACATCGCGAGTAATTACGTTAAACAAGACCACAGTAATATAAGGTTAGCATATATTGCATTTTAATATAGTTTTTTTTTACTATAGCGCTTTATTATCGTTTAACTTTTGTTACAGACGATGCAATTAAATGTTCTTTGTTGTTATTGTACACGTTTGCTTGCTATTTTCTCAGGTCAGGAAAGCTCAGCGAAGAACAGCAGTTCGAGTTCTGGTTCTGGTGGAGGCGGCAAAGTGAAGAGGGTGCGAACAATTTTCACAGCGGAACAATTGGAACGATTGGAGGGTGAATTTGCACGACAGCAATACATGGTGGGCCCTGAAAGATTGTATTTGGCTCATGCGCTTCGATTGACCGAGGCCCAAGTTAAAGTCTGGTTCCAGAATCGTCGCATTAAGTGGCGAAAGTTGCATCACGAGCAACAGAGTCAAAGAGTGCACGAGTTTCAGCGCACGTTAAACTCGTCGTTGGAACACGAAGACAGCAACGAAACCGACAAATGGTGAAACAGAAAATCACGATCTATGCATTCCTAGATCGTGACTGTTACCTTGTTCCTTCTTCTTTAACTACGCCGCTCTATCCTTTTCATTTCATTATCCTAGGAAGCCGAGAAGTTATTCTACGCGGATGTAGTTGCAGATGAAATTTCGAACGTGCAATTGTCAATCTCCTGAAGAAGTATAATTTTATATAACTACCTGTGTAAAATATCCACATCGCATCTTTCTTTCTTCATTCTCATCTTTGTGCTAATCATCTTGCCAGTTCTTAATATTGCACTACAAAATTCAAGCGTCTTCTTTGAAGAAATTGTATTACAAATTGTGACGAAGAGAACTGTGTATTGCAAACAGATATTAATATTATAGATTGTGCTAAAGTGAGTTTCCTATTTCTTAAAACATTTCTTTCATACTTTAGCTTAAAATTGTCAAAATAAACCGATATGACATATTATATTATACGATAAATACGACAAAATTTATCGTGTCTTAAAAAAATTATAAACATATTTGTGATCAGTAAATTGTTATAATAAGAAGTGCAAATCACTTGAGCAAAATTTAAACAAACAGAATAAATAAAGTAATAAAAAATTGTGTCAAAAGCAAACAGTGTAAATAGAAATATAATAAACAGTGAGAAACAAAATTTGAAGAAGGTGGAATATAACGTATGAGAATTAAAAAATTACAAATGGAAAGGTTCATTTTTGACAACGTTTAAATATTTATACAAGCTTTCTGACGAGAATGGAACAAATTGGAAGATCTAAAACAAAGTACATTTCACCACATACATCTACGTGGTCTGCTAATCAAACCATTAATGCTAGAGTTCCACCTGATGCATATTGGAAATATACACAAAGAAACAGTCAAGATACCATTGATAAGAGTACTAGGTAATTTTTAATAAATGACAAAACTTAAAGTGTCTCATATTACCTTACATATACATATTAAAAATATTTTATTAAAAATTTTATCAACACAAATTTAACTCATACAATATTCGAAGATTTAATATTTAAATTCGTGTTAAATTTTGAATTTAAATGCACAATGCTTTATTAAAAGTGTAATTTCAACTTCTTTTGGCGTATAACGCCAGGGAAAAAACAACACCTTTTATAAATAGATAACAGTTTATAAAAGTGAATCAAAAGCAGTTTCCTGATTTTTAGACGTCATCAAAGTCCTATGCCAGAATCAACAGTGAACTATTATTCTTCCGCAAATTCTTACAAGACCTTAAAACATAACGCTTATCCATATTCAACACATCCGAAACAATCTTCTGCTCTTCACGCGGAAGTACCACAGCGATACCAACAGATTACTACGAAAACTGCTAGAAATAAAGATCGTATCGATAATGTTGATGTCATAAACAAAGATCGGTATAAGACTCAACAAGAAGATGAGAATAATACAGAATATATCGACGATGAACTAGGAAATTTTACGGAAGATAATTTAGAAGAAGATGCTGAAGAGGAAGGTATAAAATGTGAATGTTTTTTAATTTAACTGTTTTTACATTCACAAAACTCCATTATGTTTAAAAAAATTATTAGTAAATGTTATTAATTAATCCATATATAGTTTAAACATATCTTTCAAAGAATATAAAAAATCTGATCTAAGCTATTTTAATTATTATATTTATAAACAAATAAAAGATAGAAGAAACACAAAAGAGATTAATAATAATATTAAGAAATAATATTGAGAACATACAAAAATCTTTCTCTCTAATAAAATAAGCTATATTTATTTAAAGAATAATTATATGAAATGAAATAAAAACGACATAATTATTGTGATTGCACTTAATTTCTTAAAATAAAATGTTCCTATACAGCGGAAAACAATCGATCTCGTCGAAATGACAAAAGAGTCGAGAAGTCCATCAATAAGGAATACGATGAGCAGGAAGCAGACGATGAGATAGATGAAGAATCTGATGCACCTGCCGAAACACGAGCTATACAACGCAATACAGTTAAGAAAGATGCATTGTTGCGAGCACAGCGAATGCGAATGATTAACCAGCAACAAGATCCACATAGAATTCGTTATTCTCAACAATCACCAAAACTATATCCAGCTTATCATTTACCAACAAGGTTTGTAATATAAGTTCTTATACACGAAAAATTATTTTATTTATATAATAAAATTTTTGACTTAATAACCGATGAATTTAATGCTTTTAATTGAAGAAAATATAATTTCTCTTGTTATCTATTTACTAAGATCAGAAACTTATAAAAATATATTTTACTACGCTTATTTCATTTAATTTAGTTAATTCCAATTATTCCTCAATTTGTGCTAGTTTAATCGCACTATTGCACGGACAGTCCATTCAAAGCTAATGAAGAACTAAATGGATTGTGCATGACAAAGTAGCATAAATCGCTAGAAATTAGAGACACAAACGCACGTTTAAACAGGATACATTATAATTAAACAGCTTAATGATAAATTATCTGCATTATGCTTTTGGTTTGATATTCTCATTATTCATACATATTCTATCATCGATACGCCAAATTTCTGCGAGGTGCCTGTATGATTAGGTACTATCATAACACACATGAGCACGATATCCATGAAACGTTGTCGGAAGAAGATCTGTACACGGCTCAAGCAGTGAAAAATTCTCCTCGAAGATTATCAATGGGTTATCATCAAAATTGGATTCCGCAAAGGAGTTCAATAGATCGATATGATACGATGGCTTCGCTAACTCGCCGAGCACGGACGAGACCAGAAATAAAGTCATTTACGGAGGCAGAACTCGCTGATAGGAGAAAGTGTAGCCGTTGCGGTACTATTTCAACCAGGAAACCATCAACTTCGAGAAGAAACAACTGTAGGTTCCAGGATAATTCTGCTTTCTCGACAAAGGCGCGTTTTGGTAAGCAAACAACATATACAGGATGTTTCAGAAATAGAAGGCAAAACTGTAAAAGCATATTCCACTCATTGTAAGAATGAAAAATGTCATATAAACATGGATTCGGAAACGCTTCTTTTCCTATATATAGTTTAGTCAACTATTTTTTAAATATCCTGTATATCTTTTTAAATTAATTTTCATATTTATTTATTAACTGAAACAAATAGTCAAATTCATTATTAAGTTTTTGTATATCAAGGTTTATAATATATAATAATTCTTTAATTTCCTTACCTCTTTTAGGTGATGATGCGGAGGTACTCGATCAATCTTGGTGCAGCCATTGTAAGCCGAAACATCATTTTGAAGGAAATATAGGGCTTTGTGAAATTCCACCATCGGCTTTGTATACGATGAAATCACGACGTCCCAGGAATACTAATATATCAATGCACGAAACATTAGAAGAAAAACATCCAATGGATGAGATATCGCATGAGTTTGCAAGGATGTCATCCAGATATACCAAAGATACGCCAAACACTTTAAGCGATAGAATCAGACATTCTGCGCAGACAGCACAAGGCGCAACTCGAATACCTGCTCGTTATGATCCTTAAATATTTTCTTTTTTTATCACTTTCATAAGCCATTATCAACGATTGAGATAATTAATGTTTTACGGGTGTAAAACATTAATTTTGAATAATTGATAAACATACATGAATTTGTCTTCTGGAATTTTATTGCCTCTTAAAATTTTGATATCTTAAGAAAATAATAAAATTTATTTTGTGTCTACAAAAAATAACATCTTTAAAATAAAATTTTTGGAATAATTTTAATAAATAAATCACTATGTATTATAATAAGGAATTGTCCGACTATTATCTGTTAAAAATTAACTATTTTATTATGAGTAAAAGACAGATTTACAATAATATGGACGTTCTTAAAATGAATATTGCGCTATTTTTAGATTACCCGTCACTGACTATATAGTGTCACCTACTAAACGAGAAACGTGATGAAATATAAAATTGTCGATAACCGAAAAAAATACAAAATAATAAAAAATGACATTGCACTTTGTAACTCGCAGAAGTTACAACAATACTTCTATTCACAGTCAGTTCTCTTCTACCGTTTGTCTAACATATATTTTTGTAACTGTCTTTCAAATCGTGTAGATGTATTCTGTGTAATGTAATTAAAAGTTATGCCACAAAGGTATAAAAAGTTAGTTTCACAATGTACATACAAATTGAATAAAATCGATAAAGCTGATGAAGCGATTTAACATTCTTTTCTCATTGTAATTTTGAACAGATAAACGTCACTTTATGTCTTTTGGCACTGGCGCACAAAATCTACTGTAAATACGTGATACTATTATATAATTAATTATATGATAGACGTACGCATACATGTTAAATCGAGAATAAACTCTCAATCTGTACATTAAACATAAATGGTATGTTTAATTAATCCCAAATTAATATCCATACCTAAATTAATGCTCATGTTATTTCTATTAACTATTTAGTATACACAACTGATACTAGAGTTTTCCTTATGTACATTGTCAGAAAATGAAATAAGCCATAAGAGTATGACAAATGTTATTCAACAGCATTTTAATACTTTCAAAAAATTAGAATCAGATGAAAGTCTTGAATCGCGTAGATGCATTTTGTATCTTTGTGTAGTGTAATAAAAAAGTTATATTATGAAGGTATGAATTATTATGAAATATTTTATGATTACGAAATATGGGAATATTCCAAATTTCATGGATAATGTGAATAGGAAGAGAATCACTCTACATTTTGTATGAATTTTCAAATAATTTTTATTTCACTCGAAATGGTCAAAGTCTGGAAAGAGGGAGTGGCTCTTTATGTAACTACTAGTCGAGAGTAAACGAGAAGCTTTGACTGAAGCTTTTATTTAAATATTAATAACGTTCTGTCATATTTACGCCGAAAAATTGCGCTTTATTTAATTATAAACTTAATTTTTTTTCGTTATACTATCAGAAGTAGATATTGCTTATTATAAAAAAGGCGCAATAAAAAGGTTTTAAAATATA